AATTTTAGATTTTTTATATATCTATTATTAATTATATTAGTTAAAAATTTTAATAAATAAAAAAGTTTTCAATTTTAATATACTTTGTAAAGAATTTCTTTTTTATATTAACTTAATTAATTTTTTATACAAAAGAATAAAATATAAAAATTAAAAATTTATCCTTATACACTATTACTTTGTTTAATTTCTAATATTACAGATAATTTTACCTATTAATATACTTTGTTTATTTAAAAGATCTACTAAATCATTAACTAATATATTACTCTAAATATTAATAAAAAATAACAAAAGAATACATTATTGTTCAAATAAAATATTTATATATTTAAATATTTTCTAAAAGTTTAACATTTATATAAATTTTAATTATTTTTAATTCTATTTTAAATTTAGCATAATAATAAAATATAACAAAAGTAATTATAAAAATATATACCTGTACCTTTAAATGATTTAGCATTAATTATTCTTAAAAAAAAAAAAAAATTATAGTTAAATTTTTTATTAGATAAAAATATTGTTTTAATATAAGAATATATTGACTATTAAATTTATAATAATCTAATAAATTTTTAACTTAAAAGCTTATAGTTATTATTTATTTAGATAAAATTTATCAAATAAATAAAAATTTGATTTTTATTAATAATTAATTAGGCATCTCAGTTAACGAGATGCAGAACCTATATATTGATAATAAATATATTTATGTATAAATATATATATAAAATGGTTTATATTTAGATTATAAAAAAAAAGATTCTAAAAATAAATATAAATTTTATACCTAAAATTAAAATAAATAAATAATAACTAAAATTAAAAAACCTAAATTAAAAATAAGGATAAGTAAATTATAACTTAAGATAAATTTTGATTAATAATTAATAGATTAATTATCATTTATATATTTTATAGTTAAAGATTCTGAATTATAAATAAAATATCTGATCATCTGATGATGGGTAAAATCTAGTTAAAAATTTATTAAATTATTTATAATATAAATGTTTATAAAATAAAGATTGTAATTAAATACAATAGTAAAAAATTCATAAATATATTTATAAAAAATAATTGATCTAATAGACCTATGTAAATTATTCCTAAACAATTAAAAATTTTTAATTGTTTATTTAATAGAAATTTTAAAATAAAATTATAAAAAAATTTCCTGTATCTTTTAAGATAGGATTTGACTATATCTTAAATATTATATTTCAAATATTAATCACCATTTAGTCGATGAACTGCATACCATTATAAAATTATTAATGGTATTTGGCTGCGGATTACCCATTAAATTATAAATCTTTCTTTTACCATACCACGAGTCATTACCTGTGCCTCGAGATATGTTACCATTCTCGATTGGTTAAGATTTCTTTAGGAAATTCCCGTCAATTTGATGATAAAAACAGTATGTTCAATACCATAATGGCCAATATTCTAACCAAAATAAACACCAAATCTATCAAAATTAGTTGTAATAGTATTTAATCTACCAGGTATTGAATCCATTTTAAAACCAGCTGAAGGTATAGTAAAACTATGTAAAACATCAGAAGATGAACAAATAAATTTTATTATATTACCTCCAGGAATCATTACATTATTATCTACCTCTAATAATCTAAATTGTCCTAATTCTAAATCTTCACTAGGAATCATAAATGAATCATAAGTTATATCATATTGATAATCAGGATATTCATAACTTCAATACCATTGATGAGCTAAAACTTTTACTGTTAAATCGGATTCTGTAATTTCATCAGTTAAATATATTAATTTAAAACTAGGTAAAGCTATATTAAATAATATAATTCCAGGTGAAATAGTTCAAATGATTTCAAGTCTATGACTATGATTATTATACTTTAAAGAAATGAATTTACCTATAAATATTAAAAATATTGATATAAATAATCAACCAATTAAAATTAATATGATTATTTCATAATAGTAAATTTTACCATTAAGTCAAATTATACCAGACATAGAATTTGTTGCACTATCTTGAAATGATAATTGTCATGGTTCTGGTGCATCATTAGAAAAAAAAAAAATTTTATTGAATTGTAACATTTATATTTATATATACGTTTATTTGTGATCGATTTTGTGACTGATTATTATTAATTTATAATATCTATATTTAAAGAAATATTATTATAAATTAATGTGGAGATAAAGAGAATTGAACTCTTACTTTAGCTTTGCAAAAACCATATACTACCATTTATATTATATCCCCTTATATTAATAATATTATTCGGCTTTGACCGTCTACGAAACGGCAACTTATTGTCTGACAAACAATGGCTTTCATTAAGCTACAAAGCCTTATACCACTAATCCGAATTGAACGGATAACTTCTCTTTGGAAGAGAGATAGTTTACCAATTAACCTATAATGGTTAGTAAATATTTTTTACGGATGGTGGGATTTGAACCCACACAGTAAGAAGTACTATTAAGATCTAAGTTTAATGTGTATACCATTCCACCACACCCGTTTTATAAATATTTTTGTTTTCCTTTTATATCTATAAAGGGAGAATTATTATTCTAGGTGTATATAGATTTTTCGATTATTCAACCACAGGTTCCCCTACGATTACTATGTTACGACTTAAAACCGATCATGAACGAAAAGTAACATATATAATTATATAAAATAAATATAATAAATTTTTGTTTGTTTTTTATTTTTTTGTTATATATTAATGATGTTTTCCATCCCATTTATTCTCGGTCCTTGACGGGCTATTAGTACACAATCTAGATTTTTGATTCACCGTAGCATTGTGATCCACGATTACTAGCAATTCCTACTTCAAATACTCGAGTTTCAGAGTCTTATCTGTACGTAGTTTAATTTATAGATTAACTCTATTTTTAAAATTTGTTACTTATTGTTTAAACTATTGTGGCACGTCTATAGCCCAATATATAAAGGTCATGATGACTTGACTTGGTCCTTCACATAGATTACTTTAAAATACTGAAACCAGTTACTCTCATCACCTAAATAGAATCCCAAATATTAAAAAAATATAATAAAATTTTTAATATAAATTATAACTAAAAGACAAATAATAATTAATTACATTCATTTTATTAATAAAATCTATTAATTAATAAAATTATTATATTATTTTTATGTTTTTATTTTTAAATTTTATTGTGTTTAAATTAAGTAAAAAAAAACTAAAAGGTAAAAAAAAACTATCGTCTGTATTATTATTTTAAAATTTAAACCGGTTCTCATTGATAAACACTGTTTAAATTACAATATAGGTTTGTCTTGGACGCTTTATAAGGACTCGGTTTCACAAGACGGTCCTTCTTAATGAATAAGAGCAAAATTTTGATAAACATTAATTTGTCTTGACGGTTTATAAGGACTTGATTTCACAAGACGGTCCTTCTTAATTAATAAGAGCAAAAAATTATTAGTATTATTTATTTCCAATGATATGTTTGTCTTGGACGCTTTATGAGGACTTGATTTCACAAGACGGTCCTTCTTAATTAATAAGAGCTAAAATGTAAAATTCTACTTTTACTTTCTTTTTTTTTTAAATAAAATTACTATAAAAAGAACACTAAAAGGCGGGTAAAAAAAAAAATAGTAATTATTAGTAAGCATTTTCATATAGATTTTAATACTTTTAGAAATAATTTATATTTTTCAATTATTATTTTTTAAATATTTTTTTTATATTAGATGAGAGAGGTCGGAACTAAAAAATATAGATATAAATCAATATTATCAGGGTTTTGTTCGTTGGCAGGACTTAACTAAAACACTTGACAACACGAACTGAAGACAGCCATGTAACGCCTGTAACGAATAATAAATTAATTACTACCTGAATTTTAAATTAAACGGAGGAAAAAAAGAAATATTAATTTAGAATTTCTTTGCGGTAGTAAGCATCTCATCAAAATTATTAATCATAAAAAAATAAAATTTTTTTACTTAAAATCTAAAGATCATAGAGAGCCCTAATTTTCAAGTCGAACTTCTAGGCTAATATTGGTAAGATTCTTTGTGGACCATCAATTTAAACAACATGCTTCACTGCTGGTTTAGAAGACCGTCTATTCTTTTGGGTTTCAAGGTTGCCCTAGTACTCTCCAGGTAGAATGTTCAAAACGTAAATTAAAAAGTAATTATCATAATAATAATCACTAACATTCCTTGTTGAGGGTGTGGACTAATAGGGTATCTAATCCTTTTCGCTACCCACACTTTAGTTACTCAGCGTCAGTGTATAAATAGAAAAAAGCCTAAGCCGTTTAAAATTCTTTTAAATATTTAAAGATTCTATCCTTACATAAAAAATTCCAATTTCTTCTAAAACACTCAAGTAAAATAATATAATATTTTAAATTTTTAAACTTTTATTCCTTTAATTAAAATTAGTTATTTTACAGCCTAATCACTTTTTACACCAATTCATGAAGAATAACAGTTATCCGCCTCGGATTACCGCGACTGCTGGCACGAGATTAGTCAGGATAATTAAGATAATAACCTCATAATGATTTATCTTTTTAAAGAGCACAGTCTATTTCAACCGCAATTAATGTCGTACATTAAACTATTTAGCTGGAGCGATCTTGCGACCCTTGTCCAATATTCCTCACTGCTGGGGTTTTTAAGCCATGGTTCTTTTTTCATTACCATTGTGGTTGATCATCCTCTCAGATCAACTATGGATCTTAGGCTCTGTAAGCTGTTAATCTTACCGACTACCTAATCCAAATTCTAAGCTTATCCTAAAATCAACTAAGTTGTTTAAGTATTTAACTTTATTTTAGGGAAAAATCTTACTGTATTACTCACCCTTACGCTGCTTTTATTGCAAAACTAGCATGTGTTAAGCTAATAGTAACTGTTCATTCAGAGCCAAGATTAAACTCGTCTTTTCATATATTACAATTTATCTAATTATATATATATATATAAATATTCTTTTTTTGTGCGAATGATTGAATTGAACAATCTCCTTAAGATCATGAGCCTTATGTGCTACCTAAACACTTATTCGCATTTAATTTAAATTAAAAATTTTATCAATATACAATTTTCGCAATTTAAACAAAGTTTAAAATTCTTCTACACCATTATCTATAGTTTATCACATTTTGGATAATCGATGTTTCCTAATTATGATGATACGTAAAGAATTACGCTCTTAACTAAAGATTTAAACGGAGAATTAATATCCAATTTCTTTTTTATTAAAAAAAATTCATTAACTACAATGATCAGGGTCCTACGCTGCCCTTTGGAATAATTCCTTCTTCGGAAATTTTCTTTCCGAAGAGTCTTACGACTGAGAAATTATCTTGTCTTAATTTACGTAACATATTCCTGAAAATTAGAATAAGGATAAATTTGTTTTTTATTAATAAGAAACAAATTAAGAATTTAGTAAAATAAAGTTACTTGAATTTTAGTACTATATAGCGCATACCTTGCGATTATATTACTTATAGCCTATTACGCACTATTTTTGAGCGTATCTTTTTTTTTATAAGGAATTTCAATTGATAGATTTCCAACTTTATATGCTTTCAGTGGTTATTCTTTATTAATATAGCATTCCAGCCATCGAATAAATATATAATTATTGGAACTGGTACACCATAAATTAACTCTACTAATTCCTCTCGTACAATAGTTAAATTCAATATATTAATTCCTTTTCCATTAGA